GACAGGAGTACACAGAGTCACTATACCAAAAAGAATTGGCTGACACAGAAGATAAATTTATTCCCAGTCCAAAAATGTGATCCAACAAGAGTTTGGAAATTATCAAACAGTATCATTAAGATCATACACAAACATGATCCTGCTGAGAATTATAAAAAAAACCAAGTGGAATAGTACATCAACAGAGAACTGCCAGATGTGCAAGCCAGGTTTATAAAAGGCCGTGCCACTAGGGACATCATTGCCAATGTTAGATGGATCTTGGCCAAAAGCAGAGAGTACCAAAGGAATGTCTATTTGTGTTTCATTGACTATGCAAAGGCATTTGACTGTGTGGATCACAACAAATTTTGGCTAATCTTGAGAAGAATTGGAATCGCAGAACATTTAATTAAGTGCTCATGCAGAACTTATACTTGGACCAGACAGAAGTAGTCAGAACAGAGCAGGAAACACACAGGATCAGGAAAGGTGTTCATCAGGGATATCCTATCTCCAAACCTTTTCAGTCTATATGCAGAACAGATCATTCAGGAAGCTGGACTTTATGAAGAGGAATGTGGCATCTAGATTGGAGGAAGAGTCATCAACAACCTGCGTTATGCAGATGACACAACCTTGCTTGCAGAAACTGAGGATGACCTGTGGCATTTGCTTCCATGTGGATTGAAACTCAACATCAAGAAAACAAAGACTCTCACCCCTGGACCAATAGGCAGCTTTATAATAGAGAAGAGATTTAGTTTTAACAGCTTGAATTTGCTTGGTTCCACAATCAACCCTTTTGGCACCAGCAGTCAGAAAATTAAAAAAAAAAAGAATTGCACTGGTAAAGTCTATTGTTTAGGACCTCTCTAGAGTACTGAAGAGAAATTATGTCAGTCAAGAGACTAAGGTTCACCTGATACAGGTCTTGGTTTTTGCAAATACATGCTGTGAGTCAAGAGAGCTGAACATTGACTAAGGATGATAGAAGATTCAATATCTTTGAGTTGTGGTGCTAGAGAACAGTGTTGTACATACTGTGGATTGGCAGAACAAACAGGTCGGTCCTGGAGAAAGTGAAACCAGGCTGCTCCCTAGAGACAAGGATTTTGAAGTTCCATCTCACATACTTTAGGCATGTGGCCAGAAGGGACCACCAGTCCTTAGAAAAGGACATCGTGCTTAGAAGGGTGGAGGGACAGCGCAGGAGAGGAAGACCCAGTGGATTGGCTTGGTGACTGGAGAAATGGGATTAGGTATGTTGGAGACAATGAGATTGGCGTAGGATAGGGCTGGGTTCAGAGCTATTGTACATAGGATCACTAAGAGTCTCAACCGACTTAACAACAACAACAAAGTGATGTCACTCCTCTACCCTCTAAACTCCAGTGTTTTATCTCATTTAAAATCCAAAGTCCTTAATATATTCTATTTGGTCTAGCCCACTCCTTCTCATCATGTCCTGTCACTCTTTTGCACCACCTTCCACTGGCACATTTTTCATACTCTATTTCAGCCATATTGTTACTTTGTAGTTCCTCTAACATACCTCAGTTCCATTACACTTCCCATCTGCTTATCCTGTAGGCATTTTCACTTCCTAAACAACATGCCTCAGGGAAACTTTATGAACTTTGATACATGTTGATTTTTGTAGAGGAGCTTCAGGCATTTTGTTCATAGGGTCACTGTGAGTTGTACTCAACTGAAGGCAGTCAGTAACCAAAACAACATAGGGCTCTCATCTTCCCTTACCCGCTTCTGATTATTGTTAAATAACACCTTTACAGCAAAGCTTTTCCCAGTGACTGTATTTTAAAGGGTTAAGATACACAAGCACCTTCTTATGCCCCTCTGTACTTTTTTGCTACACAGCATTTTACCACTATCTCAGAGGCATTTTACTTGTCTCGGCCAACTAGAATATTAGGTTCATATTGTCAGGGAATTTTATTTTTTTAATTGCTCTATTTCAAATACCAACTATAAATTTGTCTCATTAATTATTATTTTTCATTTTAATACTTTTATCAGGTGCTACACAGTTTATGCCTGACCCCAGTCTCATGGATCATGGGCAGTGGTATCCAGAAGACATAGATATGTACAGCACTAGAAATTGAAATAAATGGACTACAAGAAGAACCACAAAATGTGAGAAGTTGAAAATAATGATGGAAAAATATAATTTAATGGGTAACTGACAGAGTATAACTTATATCAAGTTTTTTCCCTTACACTTTGACGAATCAAAGAAGTTATTAATACACAATCTGAATACAGTCCACACAGGATTACATGACTGATGGGGAGACAATAGTAGAAGTATTAGGATTCATTTGATAATTTTCAGTGATTCATACTTTGATAAAACTGATGAAACTAAAATCTGAAAAAAAAAATATATATGCTTTACCTCTTTTAATTAAAGTTCTAAAGTTTCTGTCTGCTAAATTAGAATCCTGTGTGAAAGGATGCATTTCTGTGTGGAAGGATGCATTTCTCAGCACTAGAATAAAATATTAATGGTTTTGGTACTCTTAATTTTGTCTTTTTTTATTAATGTGAATTCATAATGTCTGAAAGCACCTCTTAACTCTGTAAGGTGTCCATATTCTACACAGGATCCCCAACATTATTTAACAGTTCTTAATGGGTCTTAGGTAGTTTTCTGTTCTGATGTCCTGAAGAGCTGTTTACAGACCATTTATTGTCTTTATTTATGGAGCCCCTATATCTGCTAATGATGGCTATTTCTCTTTTTTAGTAGACAAGAGAAAAAGTCATTCAACATGACCTTTTCTTATTTTCTTTCTATCTACTGTCAAAGCTTTTTTCTTTTCACCCAAGCATCTTTTTTCCAAGAGGGTATGCTAGCTGTCAAGTTAAAACCAACTCATATAGTTAACCTTCCATTGGGTTTTCAGAGGCTGTACATTGCAATGAGTGAATTGTCATCTTTCTCCCAAGGAAAGATGGGTGATTGAAACTGCTGGTTGATTCAAACTTCTTGCCTTTGTGTTGACAGCATCCTTCTTTACCCATTAGGCCACCAGAACTCCCTTTTCTAAAGTGAATGTATCTATTGTGTTTCTGATCACAGTCCTTCTCATCTTTTCTAGGACTTTATTCCATCTTGTACTTCATCTTTGGTTTCTCTTTTCTGTTCTTCAAACTATAAATAACTTCAGGTTTTCTCTATCCAAATAATAGTAAGAACAGGAAAAAGACAAAAATAACCTTTATCTTAACTTTGTTTCTTCTACTCAAACTGCCTTTCTCTCCTTTTCCTGATTGCCATTTGTTGTTGTTGTTAGGTGCCATCAAGCAACCTTATGTACATTAGTTCTGAATGCTGCCCTATCCTGAGCCAATCTCATTATCTCCATCTTACTCTTTCTCTTTGAATTCCACTTTCACTTGTGATACCTTGGTCCCTATATTTACTTGTATTTTCTGTACTTCTGGATTCTTGACCATTCCCTTTTTGTGACTTACTCTCCCCTTTTTTCTGTTATTCCTGTTTCTCTTAGCATTCATTATTTGCCCCTTGCTCCTCTATCCTAAATGTAGAAGCTGATAAGATTGTGATCCTTGGCTTCTTTTCTCATTTCACATGCTCTCTCTCATTTTGACTCAACATATTTTAGCCAGTGTTTATATGTCATTATTGTTTATCTTTCTAGCTCCCTTTTTCTACAGAGTTGTAGACCTTAGTTTTATTTATTAGTTATTTTCTTACATCCATGTCAAATCCACTATCTATGTGAATATGCTTAAAATGAAATTATATTTACCATTCTTCATTTCTTTATTTCTCATATGTATTCTATCATTTTTATCCTTGTTATTACTCTTTTCTAGCTAATTTTTCTGCCTTACTTCCATGTGCCTGACCTAGTCTGTTTTGTTTCTGTCACTTAAAAATGTGTTCTGCTTGCAAGGAACATAAACACAGTTTACAGTAGTTTAATAAGTAAGAGTCTATTTCAAGCCTGGCTTGCTGCTGCCATCAGAGACATAGTGTTTTTTTGTCTTTTCACTATCTTCAATTTAGCATGTTAATATATCACCTCCTCGTCATAAATGGCTGCTATACTGCCAGGGAGTTCACACAAACTCAAAGTAGAAAAGGATGTGTCATATGATTCTGGCCTATTAGAAAAGTAAATGCTATCTGAGAACACCCTCAGAATACTTCTTTCTTTCAATTAAGACTTACCACAAGGCACAAGGAGGGTGACGCAGTGCACTACTTATTAGCTGAGGACTGGCAGCTTAATATCTGGGAACAGACTGCAACCTCAAACTCCCAACACTGCCCAAGCCCTGCACCCCCATCCCTGCCACAGCACCATGTCCACCATCCCGCGCCCCCACACTTCTGAAACACCCGGTGGCCTCACCACAACCCTGCACCCCCTGGCGGTGCTCCAGGGCCACTAGAGACTCATTCACGCAGCACAACAACAGCAGTGGAAAGTACAATTCTGAGTCAGCACACAAAGGCACACCATGGAGCTAGCCATCGTCTGAAGCCACCAGTCAAGCTGCTGTGGGACTGATCTGCAACGAGAAAGGCTGGTATGATCCTAATTGGGTTTTCTGGGGCACTGCCGATTGTCTGGTAGAGTTCCCAAGGGTGAGCCCACTGGTGGGAATTTGGCTGAGCTCTCTGGGGGCACGCCAACTGCCCAGGAACAAGCAGGTCAGTGATAATTTGGCTGAACTTTTGTGGACACTGCAAACCAGCCAGAGGCGAGTGGGTTGGTGGGAATTTGACTTTGTAGTGTTGAGTCCCCTTGGACCCAGGAGATAATTTGGCTGAACTTTTGTGGACACGGCAGACCAGCCAGAGGCGAGTGGCATGGTGGGAATTTGACTTTGCCTTGTTGAGTCCCCTTGGACTCAGGAGCCTTCCTGGGCAGGGGCCACTGTGCAAAGGCAACTGCAAGAGCACCACTGGACAGGGACCAGTGAATGAAAACCACTGGTTGGGAGATGGACAGCTGGAATTTGAATAGGGACCCCAATTGTAAGCACCAGCACACAACTGAGGCCTGAGTGAGGTCCCCTAAGTGGTTGACCTGCCCTTGTGATCGCCCCAAACATGTACATGCCCCACCCCATTTGGCTCCACACCTGTGTCTACAAATCTGGGTAATCAACCTGCCTCTAATCCGGAGCACCTTGACCTATCTTACCTACAAGAGGCTGCTCTCACAGGCTCTGAAATGACATTTCCCTGGAGTCAGACATTCAGAGAAAAGCACAAGTGGGATAGATACCCAACTGATCTCTAGAGTATTATCTAAAGATCAAGAACATATTAATGCCTCGAAGAAAGCAAGCTGTCCCACACAATCCACAAGAAAAAACAAGATATCACCCCAAAGGGTGACCCAGTATCAATGGATTTCCTGAAGCCAGAAAGTCTGATGGAACTTTCTGAAACAGAATTTAAAAGAACAATGATTCAATATTTTCAATAGATGAAAGACAAATTTGAAGAATTACAGGATACTACAAGCAAATACCAGGAGGAGCTAAAAAAATAGTCCAGAACAATGTAGAGAAAACAAATGAGGCATTGGCGGCACTGGAAAAACAAGAAACCACTATCCAAAATATGAGGTCCAATGTTTCAGATGCTGTCAACATGATGGAGGGACACATGAGCAGAGTTGAAGAGATGGAACACAGAACCAGTGAAATAGAAGACAAAATTGTCACCACTGATTTACTAGAGCAAAAAGCAGACTCAAAAAGGAAGGATAAAGAAGAAAACCTAAGAATGATGTGGGACACCATCAAGAGAAATAACATGCACATCATTGGAATCCCAGAACAGAAAGAAGCAAGTAAAGGCACTGAAAAAGTTGTGGAAAAATTACTAGAGGAAAACTTCCCAGGCATAATGAAGACTGAGATAATATCTATATACAAGAAGCTCAGCAAACACCATATAGACTAGACCCAAAAAGCAAAACACCAAGGCATATCATAGTTAAATTTGCCAGAACCAAAGATAAGGAGAGAATCCTGAAAGCAGCAAGGGAGAAACAAAGAGTAACCTGTAAGGGAGAGCAGATAAGATTAAGTGCCGATTTCTCAAAAGAAACCATGCAAGCAGAAGAGAGTGGAAGGACGTATATCAAACACTCAAAGAACACAACTGTCAACCAAGGATACTGTACCCAGTAAAGTTATCCATCAAATATGAAGGAGAGATCAAGATATTCCCAGAAAAGCAGAACCTAAGAGAGTTTGTAAAAACAAAACCAGCACTGCAGGAAAGACTCAGAGATGTCCTCCTTACAGAGATACCACAGAAAGCATCATAGACCAAAGTAACTAGCAACAACACCAAAAATAGCTCAACACAATGACAGCAATAAAACCTTGACTCTCAATAATCACACTGAAGGTAAATGGTTTAAAAGCACCACTGAAGAGAAAAAGAGTAGCAGACTGGATAAAAAGCCAAAATCCATCAATATGTTGTCTAGAAGAGACACATCTGAAAAAATGAAGATAAAGACAGACTAAAAATAAAAGGGTGGGGGAAAATATACCAAGCAAACGGCAACCAGAAAAAAGCAGGTGTAGCGATATTAATCTCTGATAAAATAAATATCAATGCAAAAACCATCACAAAGGATAAGGAAGGTCACTACATAATGCTGAAAGGGTCAATAGAACAAGAGGACATAACAATAATAAATATCTATGCACCAAATAAAAGACCAGCAAAATACATAAAACAAATATTAACAAGACTGAAAAAGGAAATAGACAACACTACTATAAT